CCCGATGCAACCATCACAAAACAAGAGACCCGAGAACTAGAAAGGCGAGGCTTCACCACCCATTTATCCCTCCGCCTTTCAACCAGCACCACAGGTGATTATCGGCCAGCCTGGCACAATTAACTAACTCAAGTGGGTAGAGAGGAGCCGCAGAGGTAACACAATGACGCAAATCTTTGAAGCCTGGATGGCAAACACCCTTCATTCTTGGGACCCAGAGACCAAGATCGCTGGGGGGAACTGCTATGTACAGGCATGTTGCTAAGGGCTGGGATTCAATAATGAATTTAGACGGTCTGTTTTTGAGGCAAATATAAGTTTAATACGGAGACAGATCCATAAACAAATGGATTCCGTGCAACGGAGAACGTGCTGCCAGCCCTGAGGGGGGCAATGCCAGATCTGTCCTGCAGGGCGACCCAGCCTGGGGCAACCACGCTTGGGAGAGTAGTTTAGATAGGGCACACGCTAAAAGACTGACAGAAGACTCCACAGGATGGAGGCCCAAACAAGATAGAAGTTCATTTTTCTCTCCTACCCAGAACAATGCAGAAGAGGTGAGAGGTGGTATTCCTCCAGGGTCCTGGGCTAACAGATGGTTCCATATCCTCTGGGGTAGGCATTGCCAAACTTTTTTCTGTAATGGGCCTCATAGTAAATACTTTGACTTTGCAGGTCCTATGGTCTCTGTTGCAACGACTCAAATCTGCCCTTGTAACAAGAAAGCAGACATTGCCAACAAGGAGGGAAAAAAGATGGGCTTGGGGATTTTCTAAGGTTCTTGGGATGGGTCCCAAATGGTTGACATTGACCTACTAACGGAAAGGTCACAGGGGTCCTCAAACTTTTTAAACAGGGGGCCAGTTCACTGTTCCTCAGACCATTGGAGGGCCGGACTATAGTTTTAAAAAAAAACTATGAACAAATTCCTATGCACACTGGATGAGTCGGCTGCTAAGCAGGACAGACAGCAGCGGCAAAAACACCTGGCGGGCTGGATAAATTTCCTCGGTGGGCTGCATGTGGCCCGCAGGCCATAGTTTGAGGACCCCTGTGAGGTTGGAAGCAGTGGTGATTATAACCCAGCAAACCCTCGGCAGTGCTGCTCTACCACCTGGAATTCCCGTGAGTCAGAACCAATTCCATGGCAGCAAGGGTATTGTGTTTTGTATGTTCCAATAGAACTTTATTTGCCCAAACAAGGAGCAATTGGCCCATGCACAGTAGTTTGCTGACCCCTGCTTTAGGTCACTGGCTTTGCATGGTCAAAGTCAAGATGGGTCGCTGTACTTCTGGACAGAAAGCAGAAAGGGCAGACGTTCAAGGGAGGGATTTTCTTTTAACCATGTGGTAAAGAATCACATAACGAGTTCCTATCACGTTTTATTGGGGAAATGTAATCACCCGGGTCTATCTCACTACAAGGGGAGCTGGGAAATGAGTCTAATGGAACAGCCATGTGGTGAGGATGAAGAGGAGAATGGTTTGTGGAGAGCCAGCTGTCTCTACCATTTAGCGTTCTAGAATCCACTGTGTTTTGCACTGGCCATGCAGCAGAGCATCATGATGGTTCCCAGAGAGATGTCTGGCATGTGATGGCTGAGGCAAGAGTAGACGGAGGAAGGAAAACAGCAGGGCTAGCCTATAACTAGAGGGAAGGGAAATTAAAATGTACTCAGAATTAATTCAGATTTAAGAGAAGGTGAAAAATGACCAGGGTAAATATTATTCTTGGAAAAATGGGAAAAAGCATTTAGAATGGTCCTGGGATCCCAGTTCATCCCCAACACAGGTATCATCCCGTGGGCTCCGCTACCTCATAAAGCAACCCGACAGACAGGGTGTCTGGACATTTTACTGGGGACAAAATAGAACCAAAGTTAAGGCACTATTGTGAATGATAAGATAGTTTATAATTGGGTGAAGACCGGGCCATGGACTGATTTTAGAAAGGCCTCTTTAACAGGCTTGGGCCAGGACTCAAGCAATGTTCTTGTCTGTCTATCAAAAATGGTACTCAGAGATGAAGAAATCAACATCTTCTTCCCAGTTCCCTGGGACGTCCATTCTCCCCCTTGACCTTAGCCATAATGGAAGAGATCACTTTTCAGCATATTGCGTCATATCATTACAAAGGCTGCCCAGAGCAATTAAAAAGCTAAATGCAGTTTTAAGACCACCTGGGTATTGTTACCATCTTCATAACCATTAGACTTAGTACAATAGATGTATTAATTAGGGCCGTGAGAAGCAGAAGGCAAGAAAGCACACGAGTAGCTAGAGCCTGTGGTCAGCACCATATGCATTTTAGCTTAGCTGTAGAAACACCAGTAATTTGGGGGAGAAAAATCCAAACAAACAAAAATGACTTTCCTGCAGTTTTTTTTTTAAAATAACTTAAAACAAAAAAACCCCCAGCTTCTTCTTATCTCCAGCCAATTTGGTGGGCTCTTCTCAGCATGCATAATCCATCAAAGAAGACAGCACCGAGCGAATAAAAGCAGAGAAAACCATGTAGAATGAGGTTTACACTCACAGGGAAAATAGCATCTGGGAGGCGGTAAAGAGAAGAGTGCTCACGTTTCAGGTGTAGATCGCTGCCCTTCCTTGCACAGGACATTTGAGCTGGAAGGAGTCTTATAGTCTTAAACAATTTCCAAGAGATCGTCTTTGCTAGGTGTCCTGAAAAAGGTGTTTGTAAATGAATCCATCACACTGCACAGTTGACCCAGTGGATTCTGTGACATAAATGAAGACAATGCTCACTCCTAGAATCTCGTGTTTCCTCTGTGATTACGATGAGCCTTCCAGAAGTCTCAAAAATTGGAAGGAAACTATAATGGAATTCTTCCACGAATGTTTGGAAACCCCCTTGCCCTGGTCTTTGTGACCAAGTCAATCTAGAAGAGTGGTCCTCAACCTTCCTCATGCCATGACCCTTGACCCCCCAAACATAACATTATTTTTGTTGCTACTTCATAATTGTCATTTGGCTACTGCTATGAATTGGCGACCCCTGTGAAAGGGTCATTCGACCCTCATAGGGGCCGTGACCCACAGGTTGACAACCGCGGATCTAGAAGATCCTTTACTCTCCAAAACCTTTCTGAAACACTTAAGCTCTTCTCATCCTGATGCATCTATATCCACTTACCCGTAGGCTTGTTAAGGGAGCGGATCAGACAGGGTGGCCAGTCCTAGATTTCAAACTGTTCTAGAGTCCTCCTATTTGTCTGGTGGCAACAAGCAGACATAAGGAAGCAACTTGGCCGTGCTCAGTAAGCCTGCCCTTCTTCTCCAGAGCAGGTTGAAACGGCTTTCTTTTGATGCTTCATCTTCTTGGGAGTGTTGTAAGAGTTCTGCTTTCCGAGCTTTGACCCCACTTTGACATCTCAGCAAGCAGTGCAGATCAGATTCTTTCTGAATATTGCAATCATAGTTGTTTTTGACTGTGACCGGAATGAAACATGCAATTATGATCTTGTATATACTTTTCTCTCTACATACATATAGCTACAACTATATTCCCGAGGCAAACGTTTCTACCAACAAATCTAGCTTTCCTATGAGTGATGCAATCTCCTATTTCCTATCCTATTTTATAAAAAAAACCAACTATGCCCCAAGCTAGAGAAATGTTGTGCGGTTGCTGTCCGTGGCAGTTCTTCAACAGTTCAGATGAGCGTCTTTGAATAGGAAAAAGTCCTTTCTTAGTTTAGATCTGGGCCTTGACAGCCTCTGTCATGTCTGTGGCTTAACCTGAAGGGTTACAATCTTCCCTTTGAAAATCCAGACGAACCTAAGCCTGGGCTCCACTGACATAAAAACCACGTCATGGTGCCCAGACCATACGTAGCCTTACATCTGAAGACAGTCCTGAAGTTTTTGAGGATCCCTGGGATACTTTATGAAACGGATACATATTCATTATACTGACAGTTATCTCTTTGGTATCTTTCAGGTGTCTTATAGAGCTAAACAAACCAATCTCTTGAAGATCGTGGCCCTGATGCTGGCTGTCTGGGTGTTGGCCTTCCTGGTGCATGGTCCGATGATTCTGATTTCACATCCTTGGAAGGAAGGTGGGGGAGAATGTGAGCCTGGGTTTTTCTCAGTGTGGTACATCATCGCCATCACGTCGTTTTTTGAATTTCTGGTCCCAGTCATCTCGGTGGCTTATTTCAACATATATATCTACTGGAGTATATGGAAGCGTGGTCACCTCAGCAGGTGCCCAAACCAGCCCTGTCGCAATTCTTCTGTCTCTTCCAGTACATGTGGACACACATCCAAATCTCAACTAAGGCCATCTCTGCCTGACCTAAAGGAAACAATAACACCCATTCGTTCGGGGAAACAGAGAAAAAAGAGCAGCCTGTTGCTTTCGTTAAGGACTCAGATAAATAGGAATATGACTGTTTCCAAAATGTGGTCCCTCTCTCGTACAGATTCTGTAACTCTTCACCAAAGGGAACATCTTGAACTGCTTAGAATTAAGAAATTAGCCAAGTCCTTGGCGATTCTCTTAGGTGTTTTTGCCATTTGCTGGGCTCCGTATTCGGTGTCCACAATTTTTGTTGCAAATCAACATCCTAAGCCATTTTGGTATGAAGTTGCATTTTGGCTCCAGTGGTTAAATTCCTTGATCAATCCTTTTTTGTATCCATTGTGTCATAAACACTTTCAGAAGGCCTTCATGAAAATATTTTGTGTGAAAAGGAAGGCCATCCTCTCACGTATTTGATCACTATCCTCTAAAAGATAGCTCTCTCACATACATACAATTACGTCTTCACCTCACGTAAGTGAATCTGACTGACTTTCATCTTGCTCTTTCCCTCTATCAAAAAGGTCCATAGAACTGTAATGCCTCTGAACTTCAAACAAACAAACAAACAAACAAAAACCGGAATTGAAAGTCAATGTCAAAGTATTCTGATGGTGATAGCAGTATAATGACCAGTTGACAAAAATATCTTAATAAATATAAGACGCAAAAAGTACTATAGTTTTCTTAGTCGTTGCCTTTGCCCTCTCTTTGAGACCTTGATAAGACATTTATTATAAAAGTAGGTTTTGTTTTCTTTTTATCTTCCATTTGCTAGCCTCTTAAGCCAATTCCCCTTTTAGTTGTTTAGGAATGAAAACTTGTTGAGTTCTACAATCATTTCCTAAAGTTTGCAATAGCAACAAGAGCAATCTTGCCCCTTGGCTGATCACTGGTCAGGAGAGTTGGGGTCTGAGTGGATCAGCATGGGGAGTGAGAGAGGGTCCACATGAAAGAAGGGAGCCCAGGTATACTTTCAGGAGGAGCATCCTCAGCATATCTAAAACTCAAGCTAAAATTCAAACCTCGAGTTGCGTCTTGAAAGCATCTAGGGGCAAAATATTGAATGATGCAGGAAGCATCAAAAGAATATGGAAAGAATACACAGTCACTGGACCGAAAACAACAACAACAAACAAACAAGAAAACCAAACAACTCAATATCCCACCATTTCAGGTGGTAGCTTGTGAGCCAGAACCAAGGGTGTTGAAGGAAGAAGTTCAAGTGGCACTGAATGCATTAGCTCCAGGAATTGAAGGGATGCCACAGAAATGTTTCAGTAAGCTGATGAAGCACTGGAAGCACTCAGTAGTCTATGCCAGGAAATTTGGAAGACAGTTACTTGGCCAAGTGACTGGAAGATTCATATTGTGCCCATTCCAAAGAAAGGTGACCCCACCGAAAGCTCAAATTATAGAACAATATCTTTGATATCGCACACAAGTAAAATCGTCTGAAGATCATCCAACAATGATTTTAATGGTATATTGACCAGGAACTGCCAGAAATTCAGGCTGGTTTCAGAAGAGGACATGGGATATTATTGCAAAGTCAGATAGATCTTAGCTCAACGCAGAGAAAACCAGAAATATGTTTACCCATGTTTCATTGACTATGCAAAGGCATTTGACTGAGTAGACCATAATAGATGGTGGACAACCTTGAGAAGAATGGGAATTGCAGAACATTTCATTGTGCTCAAAGGCCATGTTTGACACTCTACTTTGGTGTGTAGCAAATGGGCTCGTCAAAGCTGGGGAGTGCTCATCTGAAGTGAGACTCTCAGTCTCTCCCCACTGCGATAAACAACACAGTGCAGCCAACACGTGAGAGCCAAGGTACAGCCAAAGGTACAGCCGGGGTTCAGAAGGGCTACATTCGACCCAGCTGCCACCGTCAGCCTCCCTGAAAGGGATCACACTGGGTCTGGGTAGAGTGGGAGAAATGTGTGGAGCAAAAATTGAGAATAATAACAAAGCCCAAACTTAGTGGTTATATCCAGGTTGGTGGAACCCCTGAGATCATGGTCCTTAGACAAAGTCACCACCCTGGCTAGACTTTTAAACGACATACAAACCTATAAAGTGAGCTATTTCAGCAAGGAAGGGTGCACTCATTAGAATCACCATGTGAGATCAGAAAAGCAGCAGGTGCCCAAGCCTAAAGCTCAGAGGGCAGGGAGGGATCGGAAAGAAGACTAATGGAAATGGTAAGCACAGAGAGGGATTGAGCAGAGGGCTGTTACACAGCGGATCCGATCGCCATCAATGCTGCAAAACCAAATGCAGGCAAAGGCTTGAGTGAAAAACCAATTTGCTCTGTAAACTTGCACCAACTCACAATGAACATTTACATTTTTTCCTGTACTTCTTGGTACATTGCAAGAGTTGTAAGTGCTTAATAGAGTCTTCTTGGAAGTAGCTACATTAAGCATATCTTTGGGTAAGGAATGTAAAGCTTAGTGTTGTAAGGAGATTTCAAGTTGACCCTTGAGGAACTTTAAATTTTTGTATGATAAAAACAATCTGTATTTAATAGAAAAAGAGAAGACTAAGGCTCATCCTGTACACCCCAAAGCAATTACAATGATTAGTTTGGTGTAAAAATAAAGAGAAAACAGGTAATCCTATTTGCTACATCCTGTGGTTGTGGTTGTTATGAGATGTGGCTGAGTGGGTTCCAGTGCATCGCAACGCTGTGTGTAAGACGGAATGGACCCGGCCTGCTCCCGCACCATCCTCACAATTATGTGTGACACCATGTTTGGAGCCACGGTGTCCAGTCATTTCATTGAGGAGACACTTTTTCTTTTTTTCTTTTTTTTTTTTTTAACGTC